GGTAGTGCAAGTTGTCTAAATATGGAAACTTTAGAATTTAAGTTGAATTGGATTAGAAGATGAAGAGTAATTTTTAAATGTAAAAGTACCATTTGGGTGAGTTAGAATAATTCTGGAAATTTTGGAAAGTGTGGTGATTTTTGGAGTTTAAGTATTAAGTTGGGATTGAATTTCAAGTTTATCAAGTTGTAAGGTTGAAGTATTGATTTGAACTTTTATTTTAGTTGCTGGAAATTTTATATATTTAATGGGAAATGATCATAATAGTGAAGATCTATTATGAAATTAAAATACAAGTTGAGTTTAATTCTGGAAAGAATTTAAAATATGTGGTTTGATTTTATAATTGGTAAAAGTTGAAGATCATGTTGGGAATAATTATTTGTGGAATTGAATAGTGTTTTGAGAAATTTGAAGTTATAATGGAGTTATGAGTTAGGTTGATATCGATTTAGTTATCGATTTTATTTTATAGATTCTCAAATGTCAAAAATGAGCTTATGTTAGAACGATACTAATATGTAGTTTAAACATTTTGTGTTATAATTTGGTATTGTCAGATTACAATAAAACTAGCAATCCGAACAATCTGAAAGGAAAAGACAAAGCTTGTGACTAGTATTATCGTATACAAGTTCTTAAGTGAGGCAAAGTTGAGTGCAATTTATTTATTTAATTATTTTGATCGAGGACGACTTGCGATAAGTCAACTTCACCTTGTTTATTTCAAATATTTGAATTATGTTTTGATTATGAAATTATAACCATAATTTCTTTAATAAGTTTTATGAAAGTTTTTGGACATGAACTGTCCATGACACATTTTAAGAATGTGAATTAAGTATATTTTCGACTATGATATGATGTTTATCAAATGGTAATGTATGTTATATTGAGAGTCAAAGGTACAATTGGCATGCCATGAGGTGGAGTGATTATCTGTTCTGATTTTGATATATTGTGGTGTACCGGAGTGTACATTAGTATATATATATTCTGATCTGAATGCACTTGGTGTGCATATTGTTAATTCGATGTGATAGCACTGTGTGTGCTTATCTGTTCCGACTGATGATCTGATATCTGTATTGCGCACACTCGTCTGACTCACGTTTCTTATATTCTCTTAAAATATACTTTGGGCTATAAAAATGAAATAAGAAAGTTCTGAAAAGTGTCTGACTACAAAGAATTATGAAATGATTATTTTGTCTGATCTGATTATGTATAATCTTGTGAAAATTATCAGATGATTATTTGCAGGTTTATGATAAAGTTCAACATGAGATATCTGGTTTGAATGTTCTGAAGAATTTCAGTCTGTTTTATTTTAATGATTTTATATATTTTGATATTTTATTTAATTATTCTCACCTTTAGTATTACTGCCTCACTAAGTTATACTTAGCGTGTGATGATTCTCATGCGTAGGTTCTAGTAAGAATAAGTATGATCAGTAAGGAGCTATCGGAGCATCTTTTGGAAAGACATACATATCATCAGTATCAGTAAGACATCTATGATGTTTCTTTTGACTTATAGTGACATGTATAATTATGTCAGTAGTTTCTAATTATCGTATTTATTTTAAATAATTGTAATAGTAAACTAGAACTATTTTAGTTTATTTTACTTAGTTTAGTTTTATCGATAACTATATTTGACAATAATTTATTACATTATTATGTTTTTAAAAGGTTTTACTAAAAGACATGGTTTAGTAAATTACTGAATAAATAATGAATTTATTTTCTTGTAATAAAGAAATAAATTATAATCTGAAATATACTTTAAAATAGATTTTTAAAGTTAGAACAAGAATATTTTAAAAAGAAACAAATTTTTACGGAAATTTCAGTTCAATAAATGTTTTCAGTTTGATGTAACATCTTTAACTCGTATATCGAGACATATACGGGTTTAAGTGTTACAAATATTTAGGGTAAAGTATAGTAATGGTCACTGAACTTTTCTAAAGCTTTCATTTAGGTCCCCCAACTTTTAAAACATACAATACAGTCGTCCAACATTTAGTCCGTTTGCAATATGATCCCCGACGTAACCGGCCGTTTGACTCCGTTACATTGTCGTTAGTACATTTGTAATATGGTCACTAGACTTTTCAGGCACTTGCATTTAGGTCCCCCAACTTTTAAAACTTGCAACACAATCCTCAATTTCCAAAACATGTAAAAAAATCTAATTCGTTCACGATATATCAATCCCATAATCAACATGAACTTATTAAAAAGAATACGAGCTCACAGGACGCCGAAAACCACAGGTCGGTTCAATATAATTCCCAGTAAACTTGTACCAGCAGTCTCTCAGATTGAGCCTAGCGATTTCACTATGTCGATACTTACAATCAATTCCCTGATTTAAAGAAAAACCAAACAAGAAGATAAAAAAAATAGCCTAAGACCCTCTTCACTTCTATTCTGATGGACTGAATATATTTCATAAGGAGTACTAAAAGTTTTGATTAAGAAGAAAGAAATAAAATTAGATGGTTTTGGTTCAAAACTAACACTGAATATTCAGATCATTGACATGCAGTTCCAGAAACATATAAATTTCAAAAAAAAAAACACAATGCGAGCTGAAAATGGGAAAGTGCGAAAGAAGAAAAGCTTACTTCCGGATAGCCCAAAAGAAAAAATAAATATATTCTTGCAAGTGAGAGGAGAGGCTAAGAAATAAACGCAATCGGTGTTACGTTCTAGCAATTCTTCCTCCAATTTTTCTTTGTAAATAAAAAGCTGAAATACAGGGCACTGCTTGGGTTTACAATTTTACATGACGGAAAATTGAAGAACAAAAACCAAACGAGAGTGCATGTAAGCGAAATAGACTGAGAGGTGAATGTGTTGTTTGAGATTTCATTATATTTAATCATCTGTTGAAAAATCTTTAACCACAAGGATTAAACGAAGAAATTATTATGTCATTCATACAAAATAATTCCAGCTTTGTTGGTGACTTTCAACAATGATACTTAGTTCATCTTAGTATTTGTCATCGAACATCTATGATTCACCTGAGATGACTTGTATCTAACATTACACCTTAAATCGTTGATGGTCCCGATAATCCCTTGGTCGGGTCTTATAATAATAAAAGAAAATTTTATAAATCTTTATAATTCATCCATTCATGTTAAAATTTAAAGAAACAAAATTCATCTATTCTTTTTTTGTTTATCTATAATACAAAAATAGATATTAACTTTTTTTAATAGATGACATTTAAGTGATTTACAAATTCTACAGTATATATATTTTCTGCAGTAATTATATTTAATAATTTATTATATATGTTTGTTGGAGGGAGCCAAACTTAATAATTTAGTATATATGTATATATATATATATATATATATATATATATATATATATATATATATATATATTATTTTTGGGGCCATGGTCCCACAAGTCCCCAAGAGGTTTTGCCTCTGTATAATTTATAATTTAAATTTTTATGGCCTTGAAGCCTATGGTTTAATCAATAGGGATGAGTGTTCAATCGAATTGAGTTAAAAAATTGAGTTATCCAAATTGACGAGTCATATTTTATAACTTAAACTTGATTTGAAATTTCTTGAAGTCGAGTTGTTCGAGTTTCCATTTAAATTTAATTTCAAATATTTATAATATTATGGTACTATTTACTTACAATTTAAATGATTTTCTATAACCACATACAATACACATATATATATATCATATTTTTCATATCTACTTATTATTAAAAAAAATTGAGATATTCAAATTATTATTAGAGTTATTCAAGTTGCATTTTATAACTCGACTTGAATTTAAAATTTTCAAATCGAATTTATAAAATTCAACTTAAAGTCAATTCAAAACAATCTATTTCGAATTGAGTTAAATCAAAAATATCAATTTTTTAATTTAAGTTTTGTTCACCATAATAATTGGTACTATCTTTCCTTTGTTTCCTTTTCTTCAAAGGAAAGAAAGAACAGTCCAAATCAGAGCACTGAAAGTTATCAATGTGGCCAAGGATGGTGGACTAAAAGAGAGGGAAATGGGCTGTTGCAATGCTCACAGTTACCCTCCATTCCTTGTCCTTGAGCCAGGACCACCTAAAGTTAGGATTAGTTCGATTCCTTTACCAAATAAGCATTAAGTTACAAAAATTCCCGACTATCATCTATTTTTTTATTTATAGACTAATTTAATCTTTTAATCTATTTTATTTTATTTATAATATCAGATATTCAAATCCTAACATTACTTAGATCCCATGTTCAAGTTCTATAAGGTGCAAATGTTATGTGTAGAATAAATTTAATTTAAATTATATTGGTGTATTTTTCAATTAAAAGTAAGAGAAGAATATTGGGGAATGTATAGATGAATCTTGTAGGGTAATTACAAAGATAAATGCTTGTTAAGATATTGGCATTACAAATCTTGATTTTACAAGTACGGAAGAATGTAACAAAGGTTTTTTATTATTATTAAAAGAATGAATGTAACAAAGTTAAAAAGAAGAGAATATATTTGTGGAGTCGCTTGACAAGGTTACTCCAATATCAATAATCAAAGGCATTGGCAGTCTCTGGTGGATGGGCCTCTCACCAGAAAACGACAGTAGATGACATAAAAGGGATCCAGAACCCACCAACCAATAGCATAGTAGAAATCAAATCACCGACGTACAAAACAAAAGAACCACTGGTCTAGTCTCCACGAGAATTTTATACACACAGTAATTCACTGACATTTGACCTTTCTATTTATAATAAATGTACAGTAAAAACCCTAATTCTAGGCCTTGGCCGATTTTGTTGATGAAGCATAGGCCAGAAACAGACCGTTGTTTTTTGTTTGGGTATGATTATGATTTAAGACTGGGAGTGGGAAGGTCAATCTATCTACATAATGGAGGCGAGGCCCACCACAGGAAGCTTGGGATGAAAAGATATTTGCATTTAGACAAACAAAAAGCACATAAATATTATGCATGCAAAAAATTCCGCAGACTAAAAGATATCTTCATCAGATATTTGAAGCAACGTCTTGGTTATCTTCTCTCAGGAAACTCTCTTCACAAACCGACCCTGTAGCAACCACAAAGCAACACTCTTAATATCCAATTTTCAATGCATTTTACATTAACTATTAATAATTGTAAACCAGAAAGAGACGAGGCCAAACCTTGAGCCTGGGCCGTTTATCTGCGTTGAGTTTGCGGACTTCATACCTTATCTTCTTGCAGAACAATCTAGTCTGACGCTTCTCTTTGTATCTAAGAACACTCGCTTCCCTTCTTGTTCTTTCTTCTAGCTCCATCATCGGCACTTCTCCCATCTACACGGTTTTAATTGTTAACCAATACTCACTTACAATTTCTTATCCATGAGGGAACTAACTAACCATAAAGAAGGGAAACATAGATGCTCATAATAATGATCAGAAACAATAATTAGAAGAGGAGTTAATGGAATACTAACATAATAGCCGTTGACGTTGGTGGCCGCTGAAATGGAACAATCATCAGCCCATAGAGGCCCACGATCCGACCATGCATCTAATACATCTTGGTAATTCAAATTCAAGTTGAGGGAAACCCTTTTCTCATCATCTAATTCCCAGAAACCAAGTTGTTCTGTCTTCACAGCTTTATTATTATATTCGCTCTCTTCGTCCAAGTATTTGGCGGCACTATAAACCTTGTGGTCTCCCTCGTCGTCTTCTTCATCCGCATGCTGGAGTCCGGTGTCCCAGACCATGATGTCCCAGCTGAGATGACCATCTATCTTATCCCTGGACAATTCTCCATTTTCATCGCCCAAAAGACCATCCAATTCGTCGATGATCTCAATCTCTCCACGTGCGTAGCTTCCTTTGGTGCCGTCGAGTTCAGAGGGAGTGGCATCCGGAACCTGTTGTTCTTCCTTCTTTGGGCTCCTTAACAATGAATTGTACCCCATGTAGCTCCCTCTTGTCCTTGTACTCTTAGTTTTACTCCCATCTTTCATATTTGCACCGCATTTTTAACTTTACGGATTGAGAGATATTTCTTTCGTCTTTTTGGAAAATGCCTTTTTGATCCTACGTGGCACCTTATCCTCATGCTATTGGGTAACTCACCCTATAGGTTCTTCTGATTGGCTATATGATTCCAGCTTGGAAATAGAGAGTGGGACCATTTGAACCTTTTTCTGCATGTGATTGTGGTTCGGGACCACCTTTTTTTATTGCTCAAATTTTGATATACATATGATTTTTGAAGTATTAACCAATGATATTCAACGTATGAATAAGATATCTTTATATCTATTTTTTTCTTTTATTTTTTTATCCTCTCTTGTCTTTTTTTCTTTTTCTCTAGACTCTATCTTTTTATTTCATATATTTGAGTTATTTTATTTTATTTACTTAATATTTCTCTTCTTATATGAAAATGGTAGAGGACTTTGACTAATCTTGCAACAAGTCTTTTATTTTCTCATGATGGTTTTGTGATATTCCTCCCACTAATATTTATTAGATTATTTTAGATCCATACACTTATTCTCTTTTAATTGATAGGTGTTTGTAATCACTAAGATAAATCACAATTGAACTGTGATAAAATCAATTTAGAAAGTATCCTCATTGTCGTGTGATATGAGATGCATGTTGGTTATAACAAATTAACATGTTTTTTTTTTAGAAAAAATACTGTTTGAGTAATTGTCGGTAATATGCGTACAAATTAGTAAACACTGGACATGCAATAGAAACCTTTTTTGTTCCAAAAAGGTGGGAAAGAAAGTTATGCATGCATGTAAAAATAAAATGAGGTGTAAAGAAAGAAACACGGCTGCAACAGTTTGCTGGCCCCAAAGACATTGTGAAGAATAGCAAACCTGCGAGGGTCATCAAAAGGGGACAAAGATGCAGTCCTTAGCGCAGCGGTGACTAAGGAGCTTGCAGGAGGCGCATGGTGAAGAACCTGACATACCTCTTTGATCTCAACAAAACTACCAAAAACTATACAGAATTGAAAGATTAGGCCTTAGAGATGAAGAGGAAGCGGAGATTATAAGGGCTGTTTATAATGTTTGAGTGGCGATGCTAATGTGGAATGAGTGCACATTGATGTTTCCTTGTTATGGTAAACCAGCCCACAAAGGGACTGGTTTAAGTGACTTCCTTCTTGGCCTCAAAGCCCACAATGGCAAAACATTGAAAAAATATTATACAATTTGACAACTTATAAAATGTGTAAAAAAAAAGGCAGCAGCCGATATCGTTTCGACAGCGAATCAGTATGGCCGGTCGTAACAACCTTACGCCGCCGTCATCTTTAACTCGCTCCATAATCGAACGCCACACCATTCATCAACACCATCACCTCGAAGACCGAATTGCCATCCAACACCGCGAGATCCAATCCCTCCTCCTCGACAACCAACGCCTAGCCGCCGCCCATGTCGCTCTCAAGCAGGATCTTGCACTCGCCCAGCAGGAAACCCGTCATTTATTGGCGGCCTCTGCTAACGTCAAATCCGAGAGGGACGCGGAGGTGAGGGAGATCTACGAGAGGTCACTGAAAATGGACGCCCAGACACGTTCCGTCGATGCGATGACCTCTGAGTTAGCTCGTGTACGGGCTGATGTAAAGAAACTCATGGCGGGTAACCAGGAGCTGAAGGCGGACTTGGAGGCTGTCAACGATGAGCTAGCCAAGGCAAGAATGGAGGCGAAGCAAGTTCCTGTACTTATGGCGGATATTGAAGCTGTAAGGAAAGAAATCCATAAAGGAGGGTAATTCTCTGCAAAGGTTATTCTTTTTGAACATTCCTTTTACTTTTTAAACTATGGATGGAAATTGGAACTTTATTGATTGCCATTTCTTTGATGATTCTAATGGGAACTGTTTGATGATTACAAGATTGCCAAGGCAGGTGTTTGAAAAGGAAGTCATCAGTTTCATGTCTACGATAAATGCTATCTGATAATTTGGTACATGAGTCGAGAGGCTAACTGCAAATAAAGTGAACATAGAGATTATCTTTGATTATAAACTAGTTTAAGATTTAAATCTTTAGTATTATAAGTGGCCATGAAAAGTGTGTTCAAGTTGGGGATATGGGATGTGTACCCCTAAATAACCCCATCCTATCGTTACTCATGCTGGTGGATGAGGATGATTTAGGGTACCTGAAAATGCACCATATGGAAGTGATTGCTTTGTTAAGAATGCCTTAATTAAGAATGCCTTAAAATGCATACTCATATACCCAATTTTTAAGTTGCATTTGAGTAATTCTGGATTTGTGAATTTGACTTTAACCAACTGCTGATTCCGGTCATTTCAATTTAGGTGTTTAACGTGTGTCAATGCACAAGGTAGCAAATAAGAACTTACCGCTGAAAGATTATAACCTACCAACATATAGAGTAGTAGTTATATATGGATGTGTCGATACGATAGACAGTTATGAAACCAGTAGAATTGAGTCAATTAGTAAGTTGGTAGAGAAGCACCAATCGATGTTACCTCATAAAATCATGTTTTTATTTGCAATAGGTCTGCTATTGAACTTGAGAAGAAGACACGTGCTAGTAACCTGGAACAACGTCAGATACTGGAAAAAAATATGGCCCTTGTATATCGGGAACTAGAAAAACTACATTCAGAACTTGCTAATGCAGATAAGAGAGCAAGGGACACAGCTGCACCATCGACAGCAACAGCGAACCCAAGTAATGTGATCTACTCGTCTTGTTCTCTGATAAGTTGAATCTCAACTTCCTTGAATAAATTCTTGACCTTTTAACATATTCTTGCATTTAGACCTCACATACAATGGAAACTATGGAAATATTGATGCCAATTATGGAGGAAATTATTCCATGCCTCAGGTATGTAGCCCTTTCTGATTTCACTTTATATCTACAATCCAATTCATAGGTGGAGTTGGTAGATAGCATGAAACTTGAGAAAGTAACCCGAACATGGATTCTAAACTTATTTCTAAAAGTAAAACCGTGGAATCATAACCTTACTCTGACTGATTGATTTGTACTTTAATTTATCCGTTTTACCTCCCGCTTGCCACGATTGTTCAACAACCGGTTATCGATAACTGTTTTATACTTTTGATTTCAGGCTGATGTTGTATGTACGCAATTTGTTGCTGAAGCTGGGACGATGCTCCCTGTTACTATAGAGGGCCAAGGGTCGCATACACCTAATATGAATGGTTTACCTTCTGTGTCGGGAGCAGTTTCTACTGTTCCCTTCGAGAACCAAGTAGTTCGGCTTTAGCCATTTCTAACTTGTATAAAATCCAAATTCTAACTTAGAATTACTTGGGCAATACTTAATTGCGAAATAGGCTTTCCGCAAAAGGTGCATTTGAATAATTCCATCTCTTGCGAAATAAGCTGATATATATTGCACATCTTGAAATAAACGTGTATACGTAGCGTCTAAAGTAAGCTTCATTACCCATCATATCTCGTCGTTAGATGACTTGTATTTATAATAACTCTTACGGAACCTTGTACAAATAAATTACATATAATTAAGCAAATCAATTAATTACATTGGAATAAAGTATATCGCTCAATGCTCCTTCCATCAACTAAGATTTAAGACGATTTTCTGCGGAATACAACATAAGAAAACGGTGCCTAGAAAACGCTAACATAGCCAGATCATAACTTCAAAAACATCATGTAGACCATAATTATGAAAACCCGACATCCACTATTCTTCAACTATCTTCTCATACTTGAGTAAACTCGCAGCAGCCACATCGTGTATAATCCATGATTGAAATCCATATTCAAGAACTTAACGTACCCAATCAACCAGTTTAATAAAACTCTACGCACAATTGCGTTCGGCATATAAAAACTATTACCACTTTTGGGTTAGAACACGTCACTATAATTCAAGCCCAAAACAGAAACCAATTCGCCTACTTTAAAGCATAAGGCCTCAGAATTGTGATCAGTATATGCTGTCATACATTGCTCCAAATCTGTTTCTTCAATTGTCCAACATTTAATGAATTCAAATTTTCAAAAGTGGCTAATATAAACTACTTCCCAGAATGGGAGGCAAAACCCTCGTATATAACAGCAAGCACATGCTTATATAATTCACAAGTTTGTTTCACCGCATTAAATGATGGGCAGAAGAGCAACAAAATCAAATCCCCCACCAAGGGGTTATACCCAAATAAAAGGGTATATATGTGATTTGAAAGAGCAGCACTCACCTGAAATTATCAACCTACCTTAGCAGGAAGCAATTTGAAGTTATTCCACTTGCTTCTATAAAAAGATCCACACAAATCCAATCAATCCGGTGCCTAAAATAAAAGCCCCTGCTGCTAACAGTAGACGAGAGGCAGGAGAAAAACGGGTATTGCTCAAACAAGTGAACAACCTACCTCTCGGTCTCCTGTTCAAGAACAACCCTGTGAATGGGGACAAACTACAACCCTTAGATCATAATTCTTAGTACATAAAATACTCGAAGCTGAAAGTTTCTCAGTATGGACGTGAACGGTTTCCACCATAGTGATGTCTATGTGGCCCAGAACCTCCATCCCTGTGCCTGTCCCCACGGCCACCACCACCGCCATAGCCACCTCTACCGCCTCTGTCAAATAGCACCATTTAACAATGAAGCCTCAATAAAAACAATTTATTTAAGTCAAGAACATTTTGACTCATTTAAAAAAAAGGACATACTTTTAGTTGAACTTTCTATTGTTTACTTCACAGTAAAACTAACAAGCTTAAGGGACAACCTAATAGTACCATACGCAAACCATGCATAAGTTGTATAAGAAATCTGCTAACAGTAGTTAGAGGTGATCAATTGAGGTTTGGTTTCCAAAGTAAATTACAGTAAGCAAGACCTTAAAACTAGGAATTCGACATGGTAACATACAATTTAGCAGAAAGAAAAAAAATGCTATATTGGCACCGTAAGTTCATAAACTTCATGATGAAATTATTAAAGATCTATATGAACTAAAGAAAAAACCAAGGGTTAAAATGATACCCATAATCATATACTTTAGGGGCAGTCTTCTCAGCCATTGCCACACTAATTGTATAGCCTCTCATGACATGATCTGCGAAAGAAGATCCCAGAAGCGTTAGGACAAACATCAGTGTATATTTTAATGTTCCATGGCCACTGATCTTTATAGCCACGCTTCTGCTTAATTCTTCCAGCCAAAACAAGAAAAGTTCAGTTGTGTACTGTTAAAGAAACCGCCAGCAGAGTGTGCAGCTTGAGGATCTTCATAAGTCAAAACCGCGTCACCTTTTGGATTTCCTTTCTCATCAGTGTATATTTTTATGTTCCATGGCCACTGATCTTTATAGCCACGCTTCTGCTTAATTCTTCCAACCTAAACAAGAAGTGACCATCAAAACAAGCAACAACAGAATAAAACAAATATCAAATGCACAATCATATAAAACAAACATGATATCTGCTCTGGAAATAAAATAAAAACACCAGTATGCAATAGATGACATAATACCCATCAAAAAACCACAATGACATAAAATATAAGATATGACCATTACTTGTCCAATTCCGCCAAAAAGGTCTCTTAATTCTTCAATAGTAGCATCAGGTGGCAAACTTGATATGTAGATTCTGGTATTGTCACAAGAATCCCTGCAGTTGTCATCACACTGCTTGATCTTACCTGGAGCATCAAAAGGACCACCACAACCACCTCCCTGATGTCGAGGACCACCAGACACATAATCACTGTCACATCCACCAGGATGTCCACCCCAACCACCGGTCCTTGCATCATTCAAACCCTCATCACCATAACCACCTGCAGGTCCTCCATAAGACGGAGGGTATGATGTTGGTCCACCAGTATAGCTTGTAGGTGGAGGAACTGAACCCATTCCAGAATTTGTATTCCCATCATATGCATTAGGAGGTGGTGAGTAACTTCCACCAGCACCGCCACTATAAGAACTGGGCGCCGAAGGAGGAACATGACCATACCCACCATCTTCCCCGCCTTGACTACCTCCATAGGAACCACTTCTACCACCACCACTTTTATTATCATAATTTCCCCCTCTGCCTCCATAGTTGTTACTCCTCCCAATATCATATCCACCTCTCACCCCATCTCCTCTACCACCACGATTAGCATCATATACCCCACCACCACCTCCTCTGTTGTATCCACTACTACCACGATCACCGGAACCCACAGGAGAGGATGCACCGCATTTGTTACACTCAACTCTTCTTGCAAAGTTCAAGTTCCCACAGCTACATAAACATACCAGTTTAAATTTCACAAATGCAGGCAACTAACAGTAACATTAAAATAGCAGCAAACCAAAATTTTGCTATCTAAGACTAACAGTACAACTACATGAAGGGGGGAAACTTCCCCCATGGAAAAGATAAAATTACCTGGGGTTCGGGCAAAGCCAATCACCATCTCTGCCTCCTCCACGGCCACCACCTCTTCCACCGCCACCTCTTCCACCACGGTCTCCTCCTTGATAGCCTCCACCGCCTCCTGCATAATCCATGTCCAATACATTGAACACAAGAACAAAGGTAAAAGACGGTAGATCACTGTACAACACAACTATGAGAAACTTACGGTCAACAACAGCATCCCAAAATCAACAAAAAGAAAACCATTAACCACAATAAATTTTACCGCGATTTTGAGAACTGCGACCGTAACCACCACCTCCCCCTCTGCCGCAACCACGGCCACCGTAACCAGCGTCCCCTCCATAACCACCATGACCACCCCCATATGAAGGTGGATCAGCTTCGCCTCCTTGACCGTACATCCTTTAAAGATGAATCTAGGGGTTTTGGGTATACTTGATCTTATCCCCCTTGAAAAAAGAGATCTTTCAAGGGTGCAATAAAAGTTAGGGTAAAATATAATAATGGTCACTAAATTTTTATAAAGTTTTTATTTAGGTCCTTTAATTTTCAAAACTTTCAATACAGTCTCTAAACATTTAGTCTGTTTGCAATATGGTCCCCAACAGTCGTCAGGGACCATATTGCAAACGGACTAAATGTTGGGGGACCATATTGCAAATGAACTAAATATTGAGAGACTGTATTGTAAGTTTTAAAAGTTAGGATACCTAAATAAAAGCTTTAGAAAAATTCAATGATCATTACTATTCTTTACCCTTTATTTTATGTAGAAATATAAATAAAGTATGTCATACAATAGAGTAACATTCACTAAATTTTTTTATTTTCATCTATTAATATTGTAAATCCTTGAATCAAAGTATCAGTGTGAAACAAAATAATTTAAGTAGAAAAAAATAATTTAAGTGGAAAAATACAACTTCTTAATTCTCTCCTTACATTATCATTTTCTTTCCAAATTCAGAAAGAAAAAGAAAGAGAAAACATTTACACGTATAACTAGTTCAAAAGTGCAGGAGCATGTGTTTTAATGTAACATTATGTCTTGCAATTTAGCTTAAGCTACCCAATCCTCGAGTAAAATTTACATACTAGAATATATATAGGCCTATATTATAAATAAGTATATAAAGTATACTTTTTTTATCTAAGTATTTAAAATATTTTTGGTCAAAATAAGTAACTTAAGTATTTAATTTTTTTCCATCTAAGTTATAAAAAACATTAATTAAAGATCTTTAGGAATTAGATGAAAAAAATTAAATACTTTAGGTACCTATTTTGATAATAAAAGATAAGTTAAAATATTTATTTTGATCAAGAAATATTTTTCAGTACTCAAATGAAAAAGATGATATACTTTATTTACTTATTTTTTATGTAAGTCATATACTATGACAGAGCACCCAAAGGAACTACTAAGATGACAGGAGGAGCTACACACACTTAAAGAAACCTTGGTAAGTGAAACTTTGTATATGAATAGGCCTTGTTTTTCAGAGTGGAAGGCCAAAATATTGGTGTTCTATTTTGGGATTCTGAACATTATACTATACTATGCTATCAATCTGTTAAGAGTGCCAAAACCTCATTTTCATTGATACCTTATGCCAAAGCAAGCTGAAGAGGAGTTTTACCTTCTCCATCTACAGCATGTGGGCCTGCTCCCCTTCAATTTTAGGACCACTCAGTTTCATTCATAGCATCGAGGAAGATAACAAGTAGGGTTGTTAAAAAAATCGTAATTTTAATCGGTATAACCTATATATTTAACAGGTTAATTAACTGAACCATTAATGTTAAACGGTTTCGATTATCCGAACTGCTAAAAAATGATGGTTAACAATTAAGGTTACATTTATGAATTTTGATAAACGGTTAACCATTAATAAATTAAATTTATAATTATATTGAGAGATGTAAATAATGATACTGGTGTAAGTATGTGTTAAGTGTTACAATTTTTTGGAGATGTATGTAAGTATGTGTTTAGTGTTACACTTTTTGTAGTATGAATTATAAAACTTTAAAACATTCATGTTGTGTTATTTTTTATAGGGTTGTTCACTTTTTGATAGGCACCCCGAACTTGACACTTGGAGGATTGACACATTTCGTATAGTATATTTTGTTGTAATATTTTCATTTTCATACTTGATTTTATTTTGGGTGACATGTATCTATATTTTGAAATACTTGTTTTATTACGTATTTTATTTATTTATATTAATGTTCGATAAATTTAATATTGGTCATTTGGTATTTTGCATATATTTGCGAAATTATATTTTTAATACTGTTTTTGGTTATTATATGGTTTTAAAATATTTAAAAATATTTTGAAATTTTTTATTGTAATCCGTTAGATTTAGTCATATCGTATAGGTTGAGTCTAGGGTTTACATTGATAACGACATCCATTTTTCTCATTTATATTATATATATATATATATATAACATTGACATAATTTTTCTCATTTTTATATATTTATAAATATATGTATAATTGCTTATAAATTTTGCATATCATCGTGGAATCAAAGAAAATGGTGGACCGTGCATTAGAGCCGAATTTAAATTAGGATAAAGTATAGTAATGGTCACTGAACTTTTCTAAAGCTTTCATTTAGGTCTCTCAACTTTTAAAATTTGTAATACAATCCCCCAACATTTAGTCTGTTTGCAATATGGTCCCCAAACAGTTACATCAGGAACCATATTACAAACAGACTAAATATTGGGGGACCATATTGTAAACAGACTAAATGTTAAGGGATTGTATTGCAAGTTTTAAAAGTTGGGGACCTAAATAAAGCTTTAGAAAAGTTTAGTGGCCATTACTATACTTTACCCTAAAAATTAATAGTGTGATGTGAAATACAAAGCCTAAAGGCCTTACTTTCGCTTATTTCTTATAGTGCATTGACTGGCTCCCATATATTTGAATCCCCTGATTGTGTTTATAGTTTGAAGCCTAACCGGCTTTGCTTTTGGGCCACTGGAATCAAATCTGACTTGTCTACATGGAAACTGGCTCCTCATGCTATGGTGTAGCCCCAAGCCCCAGGTCCAGGCCCTTACAAGTGTAATACGCATTCATGATGATTTGGCTGCAACTTTTATTTTATTTGAATGGCGGCTATGAAACAGTTTTGATCTTTATTTACTTTATATTAGTTTACGTCTTTTATTTCAAAATTTTAAATAATAAATTTTTAATAGTTATGCAACAAATCTTAAAATATTTAAATGAGACAACCTTTTAATATTTATAAGTCAAATATATAAGGTTACATTAAGGGATCAATTTATAGATTTTTAGGATAAACGTATTTATAAAAAATTTAGGGCCTAAAACATGTTATTAGAGAGTATTGCTGCCCTCACTTACCTAAGTTTGAATTCTACGATCATCATTTTGGTGGGTAATCTGTAAAAATTCTTATATAAATCCCAATTGGGTCTTAGGTATGCACTAACTCTGAATAGAGAGAGTCACCCCTGACATAAACTTTAATGTACCAAAAATTTATTAAAAATATATGAGAAGTTCAAATTTTCAGAGATGACTATTGTCCTCACTTACCCTCTGTCGGTTTATCCCTATAATGTAAATATATATTTAAATTATTATAAAAAAAAGATTATTATAAATATATCAAACATCTTTAAAAATAATAATATTAAAATTTTAATGAATTTATCAAATGAGCTCAATGATAAAAAGTAATGTTATTCCAGCTCAGTTGGTAGAGCACAAGGTTCTTAACATTGAGGTCGTGAGATCGAGTCCCACGGAGGGCATTTCATAATTCGGAGGTCTTCTACGGAAGCTGTTCTCAATCTGGTGTTGGGGGCAGCCTATTATCTTACCTCCCCCTTACCTCACATTACATATGAGAACAAGGGACAACCACAATAAATTAAGAAAATTATAAACATATGTTATTTTACCGACATCCCGAGACTATTAAAAAAGAAGATTGAAACCTCAATATTCTTAACTAAATCCAAGTGTGGGAAGCATTGATGATGTATTGGACGATAGTGTTTTTCCTGAGTCAAAGGAATTTGTTAGAGAAATCTACGCCCCAGAGATGCTGTGGGCGACCAAAGCAACAGTTTATCAAAGCAGCGAGGGACTTACTACTACTGCCATACCCTTTCCTAATACAATCCAAACAAAACTAAATGCTAATCCGTAATTGTTTCCATTTTTCAATCTTAATTTCTTTTTTCCCTTGTGGAACAACTGCTTTCTACTCGATTACATTCAATGTGAGGCTTTAGTAAAAAGAAAAATGATCTCATGCCACGTACAAGTATGAAGTAAAAAATTAACTGACTCTATTCTCATAATAGGGTAAGGGGGAAGTAGGGTAGTAAGCTGTCCCCAACGTCAGGTTGAGAGCAGCTTCCGTGAAAAATCTCCGTTATGAATTGCTCTCAGTGGGAGTTGATCCCACGACCACAGGTTAAAAGCCTTGCACTCTACCAACTGTTGCTAGATGGGCAATTCTACAAGTATGAAGTACCATTCTCTAAAATCCTAAATCAAACTCCATTCGCAATGGCTCTTGCAAGCTATTTTTTATTTAAAATTTAAAATCTAGTTTTGATATTTTATTTTTAATAAATTAGATTTTTTTTAATTTTGTTTGAGAATTTTAATATTTTTTGTTCAAGATATCATGACATGATATCTGAAAAAAATAAAATATCTTTTTTCAATTTTTATGTCTATACTTTTTCTATCAATTTAATTATCGATCTTAAAAAATGAATGAAAAGAATCATTTCAATAAACTACCTCAATTATTTTATTTTTGAACAATAATAAATCACACCGATTGGCGCCTAGAATTTCTTCATTTAAAAAAAAATATTTATTTTAATTCAACTACTTGCTAGCATCGTATCAATAATTAATTCAATTTGGTACAAAATTGAAATCGTTAAAGCTATTTAACTAAGCTAAGTGATTAATACGTTTTCCAAGGTTTCTCCATGGCGCCGAACAAGTGCTCAGTAAACTTTATCCCACTGGAACTTGTCCCATGCTTTTTCATGCCTTTATTGCTCACTTTGATTTCTTACAAGCTTTCGCTTCAAACCATGTCAATGGCACCATATTTGGAACTCGACAAAGTTGTTTAACTGGAAGACAAAAATCAACGCTGTCCCAAAACATTACCCTGTAACTTTTGTTAAAAAAAAACAGCGACATCCTTAGGCTCTCTACTGCATCCCGATGCTACAGAGATGATACGATGGAGAAAAGAAACTCTCCTGAGATTGATCACCAGAGAGATGAACTGAATATCATGTCACTGAAAACAGCCAAGCGCAGAAAAGGGTTCGTAGGACCCTTTAAAGTTTGGTCTGTCGAACAAATCCCGATGATGGCTCTGGTGACCAGTTCACGTAAAAGATTAT